TTTCTATTTTAAATATAATATCTTAAAAATTAATATAACTTTTTAAATAATAAAAATTTCAAATTTAAATTTTTTAAATATACTTTAAAATTTGTTTTAACTTTGATATTTAAATAAAAATTTTTAAATACTAAGAAAATATAATATAAAAAAATTATTTAACTTATATTTCAAGTATATAGTCAACTTTTATTATAATGAATTCTATGTTCTAGACTTTAACTTCACTATAAGGCTTTAATGAAGATTTTAAAAGATTTGATTGATCAATTCACTATAATAAGAGTATTTTAATTATATTTATTCTAAAAATTTGTTATATCAAGAGTTTACTATATCAAGAATTGACTGTATTAGTTAAATAAATATAATAGAACAAATGATAATATAATAATTTCTAATTAAAATATTAAATAAATAATAAAATTCTAAAATATTTAATTTAAAAATATTTTATATTAGTAATTAGAACTGATTAATTATTAACTAGTTAATTAGCAGTTAATATTATTTAATAGTTAATTATTTTAATTATTCTTAAAATATAGTTAACTGATTAATTATTAGTTGAATAATTTGACAATTAATTAATTAGCTAATTTAATAATTAATTATTAATAGTTAGCAATTAAATTAATTTTTTAATAATATTTAATCAAATTTTTTTGATAAATAAATATTTAATTTAAATAATTAATTTAAGGTATTTATATATTTAGTTTTAATATATTTGCTATTATTACAATTACTAATTTTATGCATTTCAAATAGATTTTAAAAATAAATATATAAAAAATATATATATTTTTAAATAATCTTCTATATTTTTCTATATTGTACTATATTAAGTAATCATATTATAGGTTTTATTATTACTGTAACTGGTTAAAATTTTAATATTTGTTTTATCATTATTTCAAATTAGTGTGATCAGGTGATTTATTGATCAATTAAAAAAAATCATAAAACATCGAAAACATTTGAAAACAATAAAAGAAGAATTAAAAATACTAGAAAAATATTTAAATAACACTTGAAAAAAATAAAAAAAAAATATTAAAACATAAAAAGTAAATGTTATATTAAAATAACAAATTATTTATATAAAATTAAACAATTTTTTCGTTCTTATTATTGAAAAAATAATAAATCCCTTTAAAAAATGAATAATTTCTCTAGTAATTTAAAACATTAAATATTTCTAAATATATTTATAATAAAAACATATTGGATCTATGAAAAAAATTAACAATTATTGCATTTTTCTAACAAATCAAAATTTTCATGTTAGAATAAATTATTATAAAAATGATAAAGATTCATCTAAAAAACTATTTTTCATTACTTAAAATATATTTTAATAAAATAAAATGATAAATATAAGTTAAAACGAAGCTTTTAGAAGAAAACTTATTTAAGAATTACAATAGGAATCTTGCTAATAATTGTAGTAATTACTAAGGAATCATTTAGGAATTGCTAGAAAGCTAAGAATCATTTTTATAAGCTAAAAAAAACTTTACATATTAAATCTTACTAATACATAAAGTTTAAATACTATATGTTATAAAGGTTAATAAAAGTTAAAAAGTTTTAAAAAAATAGTTTCTTTAAGAAAGCCTTTTTAAAGTTTACTTTAATGTAATCTAAAAATCCTTTTTTTTATTATAATTGATTGACAAATCACCTGATCATACCATTTTGAAAATGGTGATAATTACTATTTTATATAATATTAATAATCTAAGTATTTTATAATATATGAAAAAGAAATTACAAAAAAAAATTTTATTTTATAAGTTAAATATGATTTTTTAGTAAAATAAGTTAAAATTTAATATTATTTAAAAAAAAATTTTTTAAAATAATCATTTTTTTTACTATAAATTTCATATATAAAATATCAAAATATTTAATTTATATTTTTTTCAAATATTTAATAAATTTAAAAATTATAATTATAAATAATAAAGATTTTTTGATTTAACTTTAAAGTTAAGATCAAGTTAATTATACTTATTCTTTTTATATATTAATCTGATGATAAATATTCATGTGAAAATTATTATTTAAAATTGTATAATCTTAAAATTAATAATAATAAATACTTAAAATTAAAATATATTTTATATAATAATATGAAGCTAAGATAAAAAATTTTGAATGCAAATATTATAAATAGTTTAATATTATTTTAATATACTGTTTTAAATAAGTATAAATACTTTTAAATAGTAAGAATTGTAAATTATATAAAATTTAGTTTCTTTTAAAAATTAATTTAAGATTATTATAACCCTTTTCTAAATAAATAAGATTAATTTGATTACATAATTTTTATATATTATAATAGAATCAAAGTAAATAATTTTATAATAATTATTAAAAATCTAAATTTTATTAATTATTCAAAAGGTATAATAAACAATTTATTTTACATTATAAAATTGTTACTTTTATAAGTACTATTTATTTCTTTACCAGTACTTAAATAGATTCTATATTTTTAATCACAAATATAAAAGAATAGCAGAAAATTTATAATTATTATAAAACAAATAATTTAGGTAGTTATAAAAGGGTATTTAAATTCAAAGGATGAACAAATATTTCTTAAATAATGTAATTATTTAATATTTTAAATTTAATATAATGATAGGAAAAATTTAAATGATGCACGTTTTGATGCACCATTAGACACGTAATTTATATAAAATAAACTGTCACACTACGTTATTTTCATTTTTACAATATAAATTGGTAGCAGTTTTTTTAGGGTGTAAAATTCTATTTGTTACTCATTATTTGTCACAGCTGCCACCCTCACTTGTGGCGTGAGAAAAGGGTTTTAATAAATAAAAATTCAAAATTTATATACGCAATTCAATAAATTATATCAGTAAATTATTTATTATGTGACCTATTCACAATAATTTAGATAACAAATATGAAACTTTATTAAAAGAAACAAATAAAATATATCATAGAAACTTTTATATAATATCATTACAAATATTTTTTTAAAAAATCATGGTAAACTTTATTTATGTTTTATTAACACAACTTTTATTTAAATTTATACAAGTACAATTATAGCAACTCATATGACAAGGCTAAAAAGATCAGAAGGAAATATAATAAATAAATTAAGTAGCTTACAAGTTTCGACTTCGTTCCAAGGATGGGGGTATTCAATACGGCTCGGCTCGATCGACTATCGACTATCGACTACACACTACAAGGATGGGTGATATCCAACAGGACTCGGGTTGCGTGAGCACCCACTCGTGAAACTGTTTTATAAACATAAGGGAAGATGCATAGCAATTCTTATTTCAGAATCGCAGACCCTTACGTTCACGAGCAGTTGTACCGGTCCTTTTTAATTGTAGCAATTAATGTCGGTCCCCCCCATCCTATTGAGAAGAATGTTAAAAAAAAAATTGTTACGAAAATCAAATATACCCGTATTTGCCGCTTCCACTTTTTCGTTGTTGGCTAATAAAATTAAGAATATTAACATTAATAAGGTACAACAGATTTTTTTGAATTTTTATTTAGTCTTGTCAATATGAGTTGTTATTTATCGGGAGAAAAAGGAAGAGTTTGAAATTCGGAACACGAAATATAAAGTTCATTTTCGATTCATAAATAAATTCTAGAAAAAGAAGTGGAAAAGGAATTTAGTTATGAAATCTAAGTAATAATAGTCACGTAGAAGGTAGTAGGTGCAATAGAACGGAATATCACGGAATATCAATGACGCTTAGGAGTAAATATCAAGGAGAAAATATTTTTGTAATGGAGGATATTTCACGAAATGGCGAGAGGAAACTATTGTCGATAATGATAGGGTACTACATTAAAGAAAAAGAATAGAGAGCTTACCAGCAGTTTAAGTTTGAAATCCAGATATCAGCTACGGCAAGAGTAAAGTTTTTTTAGAAGATATTCTCTCGCTGAAAGAAAGAAAGGTGGGCGCGGTTCATTATGAGAATTTTTTTTTTTTTTATTGTGAAAGGGCTAGGTATTATGAGAAAGATGTGCTCAAAAACTTGTCCGCTTGTTTGTTTCTTTATAAAGGGAAAAAAAAAGGATAACCGTAAACTTGATCGCGTGAAAAAAAAAAAAAAAAAAAAAAAACTGAAAAATGTTTATTCGACTTATACAAAAGCATGCTTTTTTATTTCCAAATATGTTAATTGAATTCTAAATTTGGCGTATTGGACTTTCGGCCTACCAACTTTACTAAATCGATGGTAATGATGTAAGCCAAATATATTATTAAACTGGACTGGTTATCGCAAGCTTGTATTATTTCTTTTTGTCATACATTTTCCTTCTTGATCTATTTTAAAGTTGCGCCACTCAAATTTCGTGTGTCAAAAAAAAATATCCGAGATATATTTTAAACAGGTGATACTAAAAAATTAATCAATTTTAGTCATTTTTTGTTAAAAAAAAAAAAAATGTGAGACGCGCGTTGTTATTTAGACATTTTAGTAAAAAAAAAAAAAAAAAAGTGACACAAAGTATCAATAAACTAAAATCGTACGTGTATAAAGATATGCAATTCAGAAACTTAAAAGAATCTAAATAAAGATATATTTAAATAATAACCTATTTTTTTTTTTTTAAAGAAAAATAAATATAAATTTAAGTTTTTATTCTTGATATTGATATAATAATGGTTCAGTAAATTTATTCTAATAATTTTTATATGAAAAAATAAAAATTAAATAAGTGAATTGTACAATATTATGTGATTAAAATTTTGTTATTACTTCTTTTTTTCCCTCTATAACTCTTATAAGTATAATAAGTAGCAGTGCGATTAAACAAGCTTTTAAAGATGGTTTTCTTGATATATCGTTTATTTCGTTAAATGGAATATTATATGGAATTTTAATTAATAAAAAACTCGTATTTTAATTCCAGTTAAACTGAAAATTGCAAACTTTTTAATATTGTTAATTATGATTATGATCAAAAAGAGTCGACTAGAAAGACTCTAAACGACTGACTAAGTTGACTCCTGACGCTGACACCACATTTTGATATCACATTTGAATCAAACAAATAAATTGTTTAATATTATTTACCAATCTCAGATTCTGCAACCTCTGTTCCAAAATTAAAATCTTCCGATATAAGCAAAAAGATAAGCATTTATTTATCTTCAAATTAAAAACATAAAAATAAAGTTCACTCAATAGGCACTTACCCTGAATTAAGAATTGAAGACCATTCCTAACCCAAGGATCGAAGACCTCAGATATAACCAAAAAATTATGATTTAGTTTAACAATTTTGCCTCGACCAATGGATTTATCTCAAGATCTTAGATTTTTCTAAAATTCACTCTCCCTATAGGAACTTGCGATCCAAGGATAGATGATCTCCGGAATCTACTAATATAATAAGAATTGAAGGCCTAAGAAACTTGCAAAGAGGTAAGCACTATTTAGTTTTCTAATTTAAAAAAAAAATTATAAAGCTCTGATCTAAATTTTTTAATGTAAAGTTACTCTCTGATGTCCACCTCGCTTATTGGGCTTATCTTTAGCAGAGTCCGAGACAACATAAAAGAGCATTCCTATTAAAATATGTATAGTTATTGTACGTCCGTCCATACATCATACAAAATCGGATGTATGTATCATGCAAAGCATGATATACAACATTCTACAATACCGATTTGCCTAAAAAGAAAAATGAAAAAATTTGATTATTTGAATAAAATTCATTAATATCTTGAAACTAAAGATTAGATGCATTTTTAACGTCAAGGTTTCACCATTAATACCATGAATTCTTCTAATTTCACCTAATAACTTACTTAATAGTTGTGTTTTCTGGTATATTCCGTTTTATATCTCTAGCAACTTTGCAATCAATTATTAATATATATAGATCATGCTATAGTTTTAAAATCGTATTTCATTGGGTGAAGAATTATTTTGTTTGGGCTGGTATTGTAAAATTAAAAATTTTCCGACAATGAACTAAAAGTCGTTTTGATGAGATTGTCCTTATTCGGTTTCTTGACACAATTTCACGATATCTTCGAGATAAAACTTTATTTCGTCTTCATTTTCCTCAAGACATCAAATACTGATTTGAGTGTTTATGATCTTACAAAAAAAAAAATAAATAAGTATAAAGATTAATTAGGAATAATAGAATAATAAAATCAAAAAAAAATATGTTGAAATTTGAGAATAAGAATAACTTACAAAGGATGGACAAAAGTCTCCGAAAGCCTTTTCTAAACTTCTTTAGCATTAATAACAAAATGTCAATTATTATTCTATTTAGACCTCTTTAGGGTGATATTTCGTACTAAGCATCACAGCCCGGATTTGCTATGGCATGCTATCGCTATTTTCAACAGTATGTTTTACCATGCTTATAACGTATCGGTCAAAGGTTGGATGTATTTTTGTATTGAGATCAGGACTTTGAGCTGGGCAAGATAATGTATGAAAGCCTTTTCCGCCTGAAAAAACATTGCAACCTTCGATTTGTGAGGCTGGACATTTTCTTCTTGGAACCATCAATCATTAATTGGAATCGTAACCTCATAGCTAATACGACATACTTAGAATGTGATCCATGGAACAATCGGCCCGTTGTTGAAGCAAAGGATAATATCCATTAATCCACAGATTCTTGTAACACACTGCAAATGCGGCTTTGTTGGAATTAAATGAATGTCGATTCGTCATCCCACATGAATTTCAACAAATCCTCCGTTGTCTAAAATATCATTTGGAGACGCACCTCCACATTCGCTGTGCAAGTTTTTTCTAATAATCCGGTTGAAAAATCTTGTCAGCACTTCTTCTTCCAAAGTTGCTGCAATTTATCAACACATAGATTAATCCTCGTCATGATTCGTTACTTTGAAGAATCGTAACAAAGGTGGTCGTCCAGAGCGAGTCATCGATTCCAAACAGTTGACAATCCAAACATAATGTATGACCGACACGGTAATAATTTAATTCGCATTTTCAAAGGACGTTCGGAAACTTTTTTCCCATACATGAATACTATTCGCAAATCCTTGTATAATTTTCCTTGCTTTCATCTAAAGGTTCATCTGCAGGTTTTATTGCTTCGCTTTGCATAAAGATATTCGCTAGTTTATATTTTGTTAAAATTATATAGTAAGGATTTGAAATGGAGAATTTTGTATTTGTGAATGATGATCATTCCATTGCAGTGATGGCAAATTATAAGGTCATTTACTATTTTTTTGAATTGAAATTTCTAATAAAAATGATGTCATTTGAGGTCATTTAAGGTCATTTCAAGGTCATTTGCCAACACTGTTCCATTAAAAATTGTGTAACTATTATCTTTATATGGGATGATGCGATTGACGTCAAATTTTATTTTTTGAAAAAATTCCCCAACCCTTTATTTGGAAATTCAATATTGATCCGGATATCAAAGATTTCAAAGATAATGACGAAGCTAATAACTTGGAATTATTGATATTGATTGTTTTTATATTAAACGTTTGATTATGATTTAATTGTTATAATAAATTTTTTATAGCTTTGATTTTAAAATTTAGTGTAAGAAATAACAAGCTTAATTTTATTACTTAATTATTATCAAATAAATATAGGAAAAAGTTTTATCAATAAAATACATTGTTAAAGTTTTATCTATCCAAAAATGTAATTACAATCTTTTTAATCTTTTTATATAATAAATTAATATATTATATTATTTTGTTAATACATATTATTTTATTTAGTTAAAAATAGATTAGTGAATTCAAATATTTAAAATTAATAAATCTTAAATTCTTTTAATAATCCGATTAATATTTTCCTATTAATATATTCTAATTTATATATTAATAATAATTTATTTTTTCTTAGAAATTCCTCTCCTCGAAGCTTTGCTTCTTCGGGATTTATAAATAAAACACTCTTTATGAAACTTTTTTTTGGACCAGGTATTCAAATCAGTTATGCAGTCATGTTTACTATCACATCCCGAAATCTTTGATTGAGGTGATTCGAGTATATGCAAAAAGGCGGTTGAACTGTAAAAAGGAGAACGAATGTATACTGTATTTCTTGCGAATATGAGGATCATCTTCAGCTTGATAACGCAACCTTTTCCATGAAAGTCTTAAATATAAAATTCATATTTCTATATTATTGTATATACAGCCAGGATTAATTGTTTGGTCTTTAGCAAAGATAATATCGTCTTTTTAACAGAAGAACCTTTCTTAGATCCTTTATCTCATAATTAGATTGAGAAAGCGACGAGGATAGCTTGCTGATTTTTCGTCATATCTTTATCCAAAGAGGAATTTTATTATCTTTCAAAATCAGAGAGCGGGATTATGCTTGCCCTCCAATTTTTGCTTTAACAATATAGACCGGTTTTTTATATCCTCAAAGATCTTATTATATTCATCTTGCAGGCGCAAGTTAAGTATATCATATTCACTTTTTAGTCGCTTGCGCTCCTCTTCAACCTGTGATTCAATAGTTTTTAATATAATTTTCCTTCTGTTTTAACAAGGCTTCGAGCTCTTCCAGTTGCTTCTCAAATCGATCTAATCGGGATAAAGTATTCGAGCTATCTAGAATAACTTTAGCGATCTTTTTTCTCGTAGTACCTATAAACCTCCTTCGAAAGCAACTTTTCAATGTCTGAATGGATCCCTTCCGCCTGTTCTTCTGATAATGGATTATATACTTACTGGTTTTAAGGCGTCTCCATATATCACTTTCTATGGATGGTGGTATTTGATCGAATAGTAAGTATTAAAATGCATGGTTTTCTTGGCTTGATAATCCGAAAATCCATTAATTTCTGGTAAACCAAAAGTTTCCGAAATAGATTTCCTACAAAATAATTGCAAAGGTCAATATTCCCGAAAAAAAAATGCTCAGAAATTCTTTTTCATATCAGATTTCATGAGAGCAAGATTTTTTCTGCTTCTTGAAATTGTACCTTAATTTCATGGCGCATTTGGTGATTAGTTCTAATCCGCTCCTCGTACTCCTTAGTCAAATCTTGCATAAATCGATTAAATGTATCTTCATCGTATTTAAGTAATTGTCGATATAAAATGTCAAGCTCATTTCTAACCCGACGATTTATTTCTTTCTCATGATTGCAAAAGAAAGAATCTTGTGCTTGTATCTCTTTATCTGTAACGTATGTAACTGGTAGTACCGAAGTTGTATTACGTTTCAGCTTTTAGGACGTAGTAATTTTTTCTGATCCATAGTTTTGCGTTTCCGGTTTAAACCTCTAATGGATGGCACAAATATGAATAAATTCGATCAGATTTCTCAGAAATTAATTCTAATCTTTAGAGTGATGTAAATCTCTGATATGCTTTCTTAAAAAGGCTTTCTGGAAGCTTAGAATAATTTGTTTATAGTCAGATTGGAAATTCGGTTATTAGTTATAGTTTGCGCAAAAAAAGTTTGCATGTAAAAATGATCATTGATACACAAGTTAATAAAGCCTTTCCAGGTAAACTTTATTATAATACAAAAATTAGAGTAAAATTTATTCATCTATAATTTCATGAAAACTTGCCAGTGATATCGAAACCTGACACTCATTCGTACATTACTAAAATCCCTGTTGTGCAATAAATGTGCGACATTTAACCCTCTATCCTGAAGCTTTTTACCCGGCCAGTATGGATCAGTTACAACTAATTCTTCATTAGAAAAATGTACGATCTAAACTTCTTGAGGACAAAGACGCTCAGCGTGTTTAAATACTTGCTCGAAGTGCCCATTTAGTTTTGAAATTGATGTTATCGCCAAGAGTTCAAGAAGAGCCTCAGGATGGAGGCTATCGTGTTTCTTTATTGTTAGGTCGCGATAAAAGTGATGGTAATCGCCATCATCAAATACTTGTTCAAGATGCCACTGGCCTGTAATTTCGTAGCCGTGAATCTTCCTTAGCCAATTTACTAAGAATATATACATCTCAGCGTCGTATGTGCTCTCCCGGGAGGATCATGGTGCTATTGTGCCTTGATCGAATTCGTGGACTACAACCTTTAACACTGCCAAAATATCTATGGATCCATTTTTCTGCAATGAACATATATGGAGATATCCATGATATTACCAATACTTCGTTTTTTCCCAGCAACAGATACAGAAACTAACGAATCTTGCTGATTAAAAATATCAGCTAGAGGTTCTAGTACCTTTTTTCCATCAACCTGCGTAAATGAGATAATATTTTCAGCAAGTTTATTTAGATGCTATACCCAGACCAGAACGCAGAGAAAAACGCATGTTTGATCATATAAAAATAAAATACTTACCTTTTTCGTGAATAAAATGATCCTAACAGTCTCAAGGAAGTGTTCGGATCATCACGTAAAATATAAAGTGTCATAAAACACCATATGCGCGTCATTTTTTTCAAAAGCTCCGAGCATCTTAGTGGACCAGGAGTGAAATGCTGAATGGACCACATTTCATATGGCAAAAGCCAGTTTACCCTTCTTGAGAAGAATTTTTTGCTTGATCCTTAAACATTCATTCTAGCTTATTTATATCAGGTCCTCGTTTCATGCCATCTTTCGTAATCTTTTTTTCGGTCATATCTGGGAAGACTTGATCATCTATTTTTTCTTTACGAAGAATTTTGAAGTCATCCTCGTCGAGGATTAAGTTTTGACCACGCAAAAAAAAATAAGAGATTCAGTATCACAGTTTTCAGCCAAGAAAACAGTTGCAGAGAAGACTAAATGATTTATTTGGTTAATATAAACGTAAAGAAGTGAAAAATTCAGTCGAGCGGTTAATGAAAAATTCTGGAATGACTTTACCCTCGTTATTTTTATAAAATCGAAAGGCGTTAAAGTCTCATCAGCTAAAAGACACGTGTATTTATGTTTTGTGATGCAAATATTACCAAACATTTTCATTTTTTGTGTAATATCAGTCATTATCAGTCAGAAAATCTAAATTAGACTTTAGAAATGATCTACATTGTTACCGTATTTCATTAAATTATTTTTAAACAATAATATCACATGATTTAGTGATATTTCGTTTGATGCAATTGTAAAAAGAATATGTTAAATAAAGAAAATAATAAAAATTAAAAAAAAAATAAAATTTAAAGTTGTTTTATTTTTTAATATGCCAAAAACTATTCGCTCTTCATATACTACAGAAGAAAAACTTTTAATTGTTACTTATTCAAAATAAACATCTTTAAAAGAAGCAGAAAATAAATATGGAATTAATTATTCACAAATATCAAAATGATGTAAAAATGAATCAATTTTATTAGGAGCTAAACCTAATAATCATCGATTAGTACTGATAAAAAAACCTTTATATTCAAATATTTAAAAGAATTAATTGAATAGGTTAAAATTTTGCATCAAGATGGAATGGCTATTACACCACTTATGATTTAACAAAAATGAAAAAATTTTTGCTTCATGGAAATATCTTGATTATTTTTTTATAAAAAATTATAATCTTTCTATTTATTAAAAAATAAAAATTGGACAAAAGTTACCTATAAAGCTTTCTTTAAAATTAGAATTATTTATTGAAAACATAATCAAAATAAGTTAATATTATTTATCACAAATTGCAAATATAGGTAAAACTCCAATATTTTTAACATATTTAGTAATTTAACAATTAAAAAAAAAATGCAAAAGCAATTTATATTTTTATTACTAAAAATGATAAAATTAATTTATTTATATCTTTAATGATAAAATAAAACTTATACTAATAGTTATTTTTAAAAGTAAGATGCATTTAAAAAAAACTTTCTCCTAATATAATAGTTAGAATATAAAAAAAAGGTTAATTAAATAAAAATTTTGATTTCACAAAATATAAAAAAACATGTTAAATCTAATAAAAGATCTTTAATAATAATGAATAGTTTTGAAAAATATAAAATAAATTTATAAAGGAAAATATTATCAGATGAAATATTAATTAACTATTATATTTAGTATCTTACATCACTTATTTAATCATTAGATATTTATTTTAATAAATCTTTTAAAGAACAGATATGCAAAAAATGGTAAAATTAGATAGCTAATAAGAAATATTCTTTATATTCTTTTACTAAAATAAAAATTTATAAAGATTGAATTATGATTTAAATTTTAAAAGTTTAGAATAATATTCCTATAAAAATGATTTGTAATAATTTAAATTATTAAAAAATATAAAATAAAATATTTAATAAAAATAAAAAAATTTTTGTAATATAATAAATTTTTATATTAGATTTTAATAAAAAAATTAAAATTATCAATCATATCTTATAAAAATAAATTAATAAATAATATTACAAATTTTAGAATATATTATTTATTTATAATAAAATATAGTATTTAAAATTAAAATATTAAATATAAAATTTAAAGTTGTAATATGAATAAGATTTAAATAGGTATTATTACTAGGTTTATTTTTAATTATCTTAATGTTTAAATCATAAGCTACAGCAATTGATTCTACTCACTAAAATTTATAATCTTATAATTTTTATTTAAATCTTATAGATATCTGTTATATTTGAATTACTTAGCAATTTATTATATTTTAGAATTTAAGATATATTTAGTCAAACTAGTAATAATGAACTTAAAAAAGTAACTAGAATTTTATTTATAGCCAGCTAGCAGCTTGCCTTAATTTTAATATTTAAAAGTAATATATATATTTTATTTAATATTTATAAGTATTTTATTAAATTTGCTGAAATATGTATTGTATATGTATAGATTATGATATTTTATTAAATTGAAAGTGGTTGTGATATTTTTTGTTTTAAATGAGAATATTTTTTAATTATATTTAGATCTACTATAAATGAATTTTTATCTAAATTTATTATTTGAATATATTGCTATTTTGAACATCTGCTGATTACTGTATATGTTTGATCAGGTGCAAATAGTTAGCTAAGATCTATTAAAATGGAATGTAAAGTAAGACCTTGTATTTTATGAATTGTTAATAAAATGAGTTTTGTAATAGAAACTGTATTCTAGATGCATGTTGACCCCCTGAATAAAAGTAGGATATTTCTCTTGTAATCCATCTTTAAATAATGTACTATATACACAAAATGCTATTTATATACTTGGTTATTGTTTATCTATATCAGTAATTACACTAATAGTTTCATTGCATATACCTTTTTTTATTAATAAGTTATTTAAATACATAACTTGTGCATCTTATTAGAGTCTAACTATTAGTAACATATTTGTTTTTGTTTTAAATTCTGTTTGAATAAGTTTTATAATACTTGTTTACCTTCTATAAAATCTATAGCTTCTGCTAATAAATATTTTTCATTATTAATTAGAAGTAGGTTGCAAATTGTGTTGTTAATTTGTCTTAATATTTTATAATATTCAATAATATGTATTATTATTAATAATGAATCTGAAGATTGATTATTATTATAATTTGTAGCTTTTACTATAAATTTTGTTCAGGTTGTATTTGATATTTTTCCAAATCTAATTTCTTCCAACATTTAATAAAATTTATTATCTTCATTATATCTTTAGAATTTATATAAAAATAAAGAATTAAATAATTATCATACTGAAAAATAAAATACAGCTTCACCTCTTACTAGTGAAAGTTATATCAAATCACCTGCAATTATTATATAGATATCTTCAAATGCTATATCTTAATTGTAAATTTTAGCAAATAAATCAGAAATAAAATTAAATAATGAAGCAGAAACTATTGATATTTTATCTATAATAAATATTTAAATTTTCTGTAATTTTTTTTTAAATTCAAGATTATAAAAGCCAATGATTGATAACCTAATTCTATTTGTACTATTCTAAGTATAGAATAAATAATAAATCCTTTAATATTTTGTGCAGCTATTCCTGTTAATGCTATTAAAAAATAAGTTTTTCTTTCTGATTTTATCCAATCAATAATTAATTTTGTTAAATAAGATTTTCCAATTCCATCAGATCCTATAATAAAGAAAAATAGATATTTTTTAGATTTTGATATTGGTCTAAGAGTAGATATAATTGTATTATATATAATGTATTATTCTTCTGGTAGATTTAACATTACATTTGACAAAAATGTTGATGGTATTAATTTTAAATTATTTAATTATTTGGTAAGAATTTTTGATATTTGTAAAGTGATTTTGCCTTTAAGGTTTTCTAATATATTAGTTATTATTGTGTTAAATTGATTTTGTAATGAATATCTGTTTTTTCCTACTATTGTATTTATTGAAATTTGAATTGAATTCTGAAAATCTGAATATAAATTCAAATATTTTTCTTGATAAGATGTAAAATTATCAAGTAATTCATTTTCTGATCTACAAGGTATTGTAAGAAGTATTTATTAATAAAAAATAGTTCTCGATTCTGAATTTTAAGTTGTCTGTAATGTATAATTAATGAGATGTTCTCTTACCAACATAATAGTTTAAATCATCTTTGTAAATTTCATTATTTAAAGGTTTTTTGATTGATAATGTATAATTTTAAAATAATCAAGATAAGTTATATTATCAAATTGTTCATCATGTAAATATGCAAAGTATTTTTCAATTGTATCTTTCCAATATGGATCATTATTATCTTTTAATATTGTTAATATTAGTCTTATTGCATGTGAACGAGTTATTAGTGATTCAGTAAGTAGGTATTTTACTTTTATTGATGATTTGCATATTATTTCATCTAATAATAAAAATATACATTCTATTGAACTTAATCATCAAGCAATTATATACTCATAATATTTATCATCTTCTGATATATTAAGTATATATAAAAGTTCTGATTTAATAACATATTTGGTTAAATATTTACCAAGATTTTTAGTACTCACATATTGTATATTCATGTGAGCATTCCATAATAAAAGCATAGGTAAATGGTAAGAAACTACCCATTTATTTTTTTTAGTATACATCAATATATATATCTAGATTTTTTAGTATTATAATACATAATTAAATAATATGGTCAAGGAAAAGTTTTTGACTTAAAGGTGTTGGTTTACCATACTTTCTAGGATTACATGTATAAATTTAATATGTTAATACTAATTGGTAAAGTTTTGATTCAAAGTTTTGATCTGATAAATCAGATCTAATTAGTTTGAAAAATTCAATTATTTTTTTATAATAATAAATAATATTCACATTAATTAATTTTTTTAAACTAAATAGAATATCTTTATTTTATTTGAACCATTAGAAAAGATAACCATATTACTTTTAGCTTCTTTTTATTTCACAATTTCTGATATTAGATTTTTATTTATTGGAATTCAAGAATATCTAAATAATTATATTGGAAAAGAATAATTTAATCAAAATAAGTTAGCATTATCAATACTTTAAAAAATTGATCAATATTAGAATATAGTAGATTCGTTTACCTTAGTAGCTGCAGTATTAGATCCTCATACAAAGCTTACTTTATTTGCTACTGAAGAAGAATTAACTAAAGTAATTAATACTGTAAAAAATTGCTTAACTGAATATTAAACACTATAATTTCAATCTATAATTAATCAAATAATAGTAAAATAATGAATACTCATGAATACTTCATCAATTAAAGAGAAGAAGATTAAATTATAATATTGCTTCAAGTATTGCAAGAACATCATCTGGAATATTTGAGAAACTTAATTAGTATCTTGCTTTACGATATAATAATAATGTTGCATCTTTGCTATAGTGGAAAGGACACTTTCAAGAATTTCTAGCATTAGAAGTAATGGTATGAGATTACTTATATATTCAGGCTACAAGTGTTACATGTGAGTAGAATTTTTCTGTAGCAAGTAATACTATAACTTGTACAAGAAATAGATTGCAACTAAATACATCTTATGCATTATTATGTTCAAAAGTTACTTAAAAAAGGATTAGGAGAAAAGGAAATAGTATTATGAATGTTAAAAGTTTTTTTATGTAGTATTTTTATATGTTAAATTTAATTTGTAATGATATATAATAATGAATTTAACAAATATAAAAATAATTACAAGTTTATTTTATAATATAAATTATAATAAATTCATTAATAATAACTAAATAAAATATAAGATACTTAGATATAATTCACAATTGTAAATTTTAGAGAGTATTATACTATGAGGAATACATTGGTCTAAGGAGAGAATATAAGATAATCATTTTTTTTAATATTCTAATAATGTTGAATAATTAATCAAAAAGATATGTTTTTTAAAAAAAATAACATATACATATTTATGTGATATTTATTAAATTTATTGTTTATGTTATTTATGTTATTTATCTTATAAAAAGGAAATGTGATCACATTTTTAACAGAATCAAAAACTATATATAGAGATAGTGTCTAGAAGGATAAGGTCAGAGGCATTAGTGGTAAAATTATTATTATGTGAAATATATGAAATTCAAGAAGGTTTTTACTTTTAATAAAATTTTTAATTACAGATCAAAATTTTAAAAAAAAGTATTATTTAGAAGAGAAAAAAAAAAGTACATAATCTAGCATCATTATAATTATTAATAAAATAGAAATTATGAAATAATGTCAATTTAAAAAATGAAAAAATTATAAGTTTTTATAAAAATTTTCAAAAATTTTTTAATTTTCTAATAAATCTATTGGAATTGAATAACTTAAAATTAAAAGAATTAGAAGATTCTAATCTTAATGTATAATACTTCTAAATATTAAAATAAATACTATACTAAAATAAATATTATTTAACAGTTTGGATTCAGTTTTGATTACAGTTTTATGTAAGTTATAGGACTTTCATAAAGATTAAGTCAGTCCGTCCACATATTAGAACCTATAAGTCTTAGGACTTTAACTGAATTTTAACAGACCTTCTATATCCTACTAATACATAATTTACAAATCATATGATAAATATAATATCAATTTGTAATTAGCTAAAATTTAAATATAATTGATTAACTAATTTAAACACTACCAGTTTTCATTATTTAGTTTATCCTACATATTATATAGATTGTAAATATATAATTTTATATAATAATCATATATTAAAGGATTATTTAAATTTTAAATTTTATAAAAAATGATATATATAAATATAAGGCTTAAAATTATACAATCTTAAAAATATTTATTATTAACTATTTTTAGATATAAACAAATAATAAATGATATTATTTATAAATATTTTTATATTGAATATTTAATATTATTAATATTAATAAAAACAGATATAGAATTTTTCTATATAGAATTCTAATATTCATTAACATTAATTAGTATAGAGTTTTTATATTATTTCTTATAGAATTTAATACTTATCAATTAAATTAGATGTAAAATTTATAGTTATAATCTTGTTATATATATCATATAATCTTTTTGTTAATTGAATAATGCTTTAAATGGTTATTATATATGCAGTATTTGATTCTTTTTTTCAAAATTACAACAAATTATTGAAGATTAAGCAAAGTTAGTATCTTTAACCCTAAATCTTTGGACAGCTAGAAATCGTCAAGGTTATTTAGAAATTAACTGTTCTTTTCTAGATAATAAAATTAATTTACGTGAATTTATTTTAGATATTACTTATATAAGATATTTACATACCGCTAATAATATTTTTTAATCACTTGAATAAGTATTAGAAGAATGAAAATTTATGATTTAGTATTTACTATTATAACTGATAATGGTAATAATATTAAAAAAGCAATTTAAAATATGGAAGGAGTTAATTGGTTAGGATATACAGCATATATTCTACAATTAGTTATTAGAAAAAGAATGAAATTAGCAGAAATTCTAATAGCATATTATAGAGTTAAGAATTCCTAGAACTAATATCATGTGATATTATAAAGAAAAATTAAAAAAAAAATTGGCTAAATAGAAGATTACCAGATAAATATTTAATTAAAAAACTAAGATACAGAATACAGTTAAATTATTTGCTAAGGGAAAAAGAATAAATTATTTACTGAAGGAAAAAGGATAAATTATTTGCTAAAAAAAATGGATAAATAACATACCGAAGTAATGAGAAAAAAAATATTAAAGAAGATTTTATAAATTGAGATATTAGAAATACTTGTGTAACTTAAAATTACTAAATAAGAAAATTATTAATTATTTGTATAACTTGAATTTCTAAAAAAGGAAATTTGTATAACCTTATTCTAAAAGAGGAAATTAGAAAAAAAAATACTTAGGAATTAGGAATGTTAGGAATATGATTAATAAAATAGGAATAGGAATGAGAACAGAAGAACAAGAAAAAGGAAATAGAAATAGAAATAAGAAATAATAGTAAAAAGAAATGACATAATAATAAGAATAGGAATAAAAAAAGAAAATAGAAATATTAGAATCAGAATTGTGAATAGGAATAGAAATAGAAAATGAAAAATAAAATAATAGAATAAGAACTGTGAATAAGAATAAGAATAAATGGAAAATTAAAAAAAAGGGGGAAGAAGAATTTACGAATCTGTATAACTTTAGATATATAAAAGTAGATTAACTTTTCTCTTGTAATCCTAATCTTTGATCACTCAAATATACCCTTACCTTAATAATTAATAAATATACATATTAAATGAAAATTATATTTAAATGAAAATTAGTATAATTTGTTATAATTGTTTTAATGATATTAATAACTGTTTATTTATAAATAAATAAAATAATGGAGAAAAAGAAATAATAATTACAAATAAACAATAATAACAGAAAAGAAAGAAATATTATTTATAGCAAAATTGAGAAGAATAAGAATAAATGAAAGTTAAAATGAAAGGAAGAATCTCTCCTGTAATATAAGGGATAACAATAAAATAATCAAACGAAAGGTCAAAAAAATTTGAAAAGAAGAAACATATTTGGAAGAAATAATAATATTAAAAAAATAATACAAAATAACTTTGTAAAATAAAGATTTAACCAATTGAAGATAATTTTGAAAAGAAGAAAATTGAGGAAATAATATAATAAGAAAAAGGAAGAGAACTGAAAATATGAAATAACAAATGAATTTAAAAATGGAAATAACTAGACTTACAAGAAGAAATAACATAATGAATGATGATGAATAATTTGTAAAGAAAAATGGAAATTTGAATAAGAAAATAGGAATAATAAAATGGAATGAGAAGAAGAAATATGAAGAAAAAGGTATATTAAACTAAATTACAAGAATGATATTAGAAATTATATTAGAAGAAAGAATAACAAAACACTGAAACTAAGGATTCTTGAACAAATAAAATAATTTGTAAAACAAATCCTCTTGAAGACGAATGGCAGAAATAGTTCAAGAAGGTATAGCTCTTGTTGAACTATTGAACTCATAAAATATCATATATTTGTAATCACAGGTTTACAATGTGTTAAACGTCTTATTGATTTTTTACAACCAAAACAGAATAAACAATTAGAAAATATACAGCAAAAATTTTCTGAATTAGTAGATAATAATTCTGAAGAAAATAAAATTGTAAATAATTTTTTTTAAATTTTTTTTTAAATTATTTTTTTTAATATTTTAAAATTGACAATTGCTATTCGTATATATGTGTACAAACCTGTATCACGTGATTTATAAAATTCAAATTTTTAATTAAATAATATCACATAACTTTAAACTAGATAGATTTTATTACAAAAAATAAAATGCATACATATAATTATGACACCCACATACATATATGCTATACATATATGCTCAGAACTAATTAAACTATATTTTAACACGTTTTTACATAATGTTCATATTGCTTACACTTTCCATATTTTCAGCCCATTGTACTATTTGTCTCATTTGTCTCTTTTTCTATAACATTAGTACTATTACTTAAAACTTGCTTTTCCTGCTTGGATACAGACTTTTTAGCATTTGATTTGAGCTTTTTTGAAGGTCTTCCTTTGTGTTTAATAATAGCAGGATTATTAATATTAAAAAAGGTTTCTGTTTCTATTTCTTGATTGTTCATTTTATTTTGTGCATCATAAATAAAAGTCTTTAATATGTTCAATAACTCATGTCACATATCAGCCTTAAAAGCACAGTCAATGACCTTTTTTGATAACTTAAATAATTTCGCATAGATGGTTTTGGTTGATTTTTGAGATAATTGAGAACCAAGTGAATCAAACTGAATCAAAAAAAGTGATGGAAGTTGAATTCAAAACTATCTAATTGCGTTATGCCATATACTGGAATGGAAGGATATTTTTGCAAAAGATCATCTGGTTGAATATTAGTATTCAAGTACCATTGACTCAGAATTATGCTTATATAAAAGGTGGTATTTTGAGAGTAAGTATTAACATGAAAGAAGTGTTAATATATCAATCCTTTATTGATTAAGAGAAGGCAGGTACATATATGTATTCCTTCATTAAGTAGAATCACATAATGACTTGTTTCTTAGATTCCGATTGCTCGTATATGCTATACTTCTAGAATAGCTTCCAGTAGTATGGTTCTAGCTAATGATCAAAAAAGAATTTGTCATGTAATCTGTTTTTGTTTCCTAATTCTAACACTCATTTCTTCGTTATCAATTTCCATCTATAAGAAATAGAAATTTGAATGAATTATAGTTGTAAGATCAAAATAACTCTATGCTCTACTTCTAAAGGTAACTTACATCTATCAAATACTGCCATTTTGTGATTCAATTAATATCATAACATACAGATTGGTTCATTTGTGATCTTTGTTTTCCAAACATCACAGATTTTAAAAAAGTTTTAATAATATCATCTACTTGATCAAAGAATCTTATATTTAATATTAGTATGCCAATTTTAGATAAAGCATTTCATTCAGATTCAAATCTTTTGAGATGTTCTTTATTTCTAACATAATCCTTGATACCAAGTAATAGATTACATAATAATGTAGCTTGATTAACTTTATTATATACATGTTTGTTAATTGATTCAATTTTCTGTGTACTCTGTGCCCCAATAGTAAACTATTTATGTATTCAAGGTATTGTTTATGATTCCTTATTAATATAAAGTATATCAGACAGGTATTTTACTGCTGCTGGATATTCATTAATCAACTGATTTCATCAAAACTCAAACAGTTCCTCACATAGAGAATTTCTACATACATAAAACTTATGATGAAATTTCTCAAAATGATTGCTTAGTTTTCCTTTGAATTTTTTCTGAAGGTTCAAATTGATATAAAAAATGCATAACAAGTGCTGGATATTGGGATAAATATTCTTGATCGATCAAATCATAGAAGGATCTGAGTCAGTAAAAATGATTCCAGGAGAGATGCTAGTATTGGTAAGTATAATGTTAAATATCTATCGGTAGATACCTAATGTTTCATCTTCAATTATAGCACATATTACATCCTGGTCTTGTAGTTATTATCAACTACAGTTATAATGCAAAGTATTATCTAGAATTGGTTGGTATTATAAGTAGAATCAACTATTAAAATATCATTGAACTTGTTATATAACTCTCTTTATATGAGAGACATCTATAAAAGAGAGGTTAGTTTTCTCAAGACAGGTTTCAATCAAGGCTTTACAATCCAGAGCGGTTCTGAATCCTTTCATTCTAGTAATGGCTGAAGCATCTGAAAAGCATCTGCATCTCCTGGATTATTTTTCTGACAAAATTGATAAATCACGTTATACAAGTCTTTCTTATAAATAGGATGATCTGGATAATCATGTCTAAGCAAAGGATAGATAGATCCTAAATCTATTATTACCGTGGAATTCTTCAACTCAAGGTGATCACGTTATCAAGTCTTTACTCAAAATTCCTAACTGCAGTTTACTACAGTCAAGATGTTAGGATCTGCCTAACTCTTAACTCTACTAAATTTACACGTTAGACTTAACAGATCTATCAAGTATGAAGATTTGAAAGACGAGATTGTAGACAATTTTATTTAAAGAATTCAGATGATGAACTCAATTACAAATAATGTGTAGGGATCACATCAGACTATATGAAGACACAAAGAGGCAGAAAGATATAAGTTTTGAATCGATTCCTTTATTAATATTGAAACTCGTATTCGCAAAAGAGTTTACAAATCTGCAAAAGTGTTAATTTACAATATAAGCAAATATCTATTTATTTTATAAAATTTCTTTTGTCACGGCTAACTATTTACTATGCTATAAACTAACTAATTTAGCAAAATAAAATATAAGTAAAAT